AGGATGAAGAGAGCACATCCAGTAAGTCACAGTCAGAGAAACAGGACATTTCAAAATTCAAGTTTCAAATTCTGCTTTAAGCTTTAGAAAAAGAGTAACATTTATAATTTTAATGCAAAACTTTAGGCTATATCTTTATGTAGTTAGTTTTTCAGAATTTATTTTCAAAATAAAATTTTTAGATTTTATTTTTTCAAAGTTTCTTTTTTTAAAGATTTGTTTTTTTAACAGAAGCTTTTACAAGATATTTATGGTGTTTAGCAAGCATCTACAGTTATACAGAAAGGTGTGTTTTATAAAACAAACTTCTTGATCCATACTATTAGACAAACATACAAGGAAGATGATTTTAGATTTGTTAACACCAGAAGAAAACAACAAAACAAAATATGACACAAAATTCTCCCCTCCCAACCCCCACCCTCTTCAAAGTTTCTTTTTTAAAAATCTTTTGAAACATTTTTTAGATTTCACTTGATTGGTTTCTTTAATAAAATTTTAATTTCAAATATTTTCCTTTTTCAGAGTTTCTTTCGTCATATTTGTTTTCTGTTTTTTCAGATTTAAGGTTTTTCATTTTTCTGATAAATCTTTTTAAGAATATTTTTCAAATGTTTCGCCAAAATGTATTGCTTTAAATATATTTTTTTTCTGTTTCCTTTTGTAGATTCTTTTAAGTTGTTTTTAGGAAACTGAATTTAATTTCTTTCTTTCTTTTTAAATAGAGATTCCCTGTCAGGCTTCTGGTTGGTGCGTGCGTGGACCAATAGAAATGCTGTTGCTAACGTCCACACAGAGTAGATCCACCCAGAATGTGGAGGGGAAAATCTGTAAAATGGGATTGAAAAGAATTCAATCTATAAAACTAATTCTCCCTAAAAAGTCAGAAATAATAATAATAATAAAAAATCCTAAGAAATACAAAACTGTAAAAATATTCATATAGTTTGAACCTTTGTACTCACATTAAAAGTTACTCTAAAAACCCATTTTTGAAGTTTCTTCAAATTTCCTTTTTTGAAACATTTTTTTTACTTTAAAAAATCTTAAAACTAATTTCTTTCCCTCTTGTCTGGTCTACAGGAACGTCTTGCATTCACCAAA